AGGACAACAATAGCTGTCTGGTGTGAACAAATAAAAATTATACCTAATTTTTGTCAGATTGGGAAAAACATTTTTGGTGTGCTGCAGAATTTTAGTAATTAGTTATGTGTGCCATGAGATGGAAAGATTTGAAAATTGCTGGATTAGAGCAATAACTCCAAGTTTCTTTTTTTCTACTTTGTTAACCTAAAGGCTCTCACCACAGTAATCAAAGTAATCCTTTTTTTTAAGACTTTAATTTTTTTTTGAAGTAGTTTTAGGTTCACAGCAAAATTGGGAGGAAGGTAGAGACATTTTTTTATATGCCCCCACAAATTCATAGCTTTCCCTTTTATTAATGGTCCCCACCAATTTGTTACAATGGTCCCCATACATTTGTTATAATTGATGAGCCTACATTGGCCCATCCTAGTCACCCAAAGTTAGTTTATGTTAGTGTTTACTCTTGGTGTACATTCTGTGATTTGGACAAATGGGTAATGTCATGTATCTACTAATACAGAGCATATTTACTACCCTAAAGTTCTCTGTGTTCTGCCTATTCATCACCGCCCCTTCCAAACCCTGGCAACCTCTGATCTTTCTACTGTTTCCATAATTTTTGCGTCTCCCATAAAGTCATTGTCATTGGAATTACAAGTATGTGGGCATATTTCACTGGGTAATATGTGTTTAAGGTTACTCCATGTCTTTCATGTCTTGATAGCTCTTTTTGTTTTATCACTGAATAATAATTCCATGTCTGGATGTACTCCACCTGAATGCTTTATTTAGCCATTCACCTCCTGAAGGACATCATGGTTGTTTTCAAGTTTTAGCAACTATGAATAAGCAGCTACAAAATCAGCGTGCAGGTTTTTGTATGGACACAAGTGTCCAGCATCTTGAGGTTGATACCAAGGAATGTGATTGCTGGATCGTATGGTACAAACGTGTTTAATTTTGTCAGAAACTGCCAAACAGTCTTTTTTACATAGGTATATTTACATACATATAGATACATATACATAAATACACATGTGCAGGTATATATGAGAGGGTTAAGTTATGTTTTGCACAGAGGTTTACACATGACGGGAGGGCCGGAGGAATGACCGAAGTGGACATGGTGGGGTACCAGACACTGTATGCTCTGGCCTCTCCGTTCTCTCTGACAGTGTCTTCCACGCCCCTGTTTGCTGTTGCTGCTCCTTAAACACAGCAGACACAACTAGTAGACCTTGGGGCCTTCACACCCCTTTTCTCTCTGCAGCACTCTTCCACAGACACCCGCCTGGGCCACTCCCTCCACTGCAGCCAAGCTGTGATAGAGCAGAGCCTTCTCAGTGAGGCGTGCCAGGTATCATCCTGCTTACACTTTCAAGCCGTACCCCCACATTCTGCAGTCCGGGAAAGAAATGGGACCTTTTCTCTAGACTCAGGGAGGCCTGGGGATTCGGTCCTCTCTGTCATCCTTTTTACAAGAACTCAAGCAATGTATAGGCATAGGGCTATACTTGAGGGGAATCCTGCGGGCATTTCTAGGTCGCAGAACAAACACCTGTATGTGCGTTATTGTTGAGATTTACTCGTGATAAGTAGCTGTGATGGAGAATGTATGGAAGTTCATCACATGCTCCTGATGGGGATGCTCAACTTTCAAGGTATGAGCCCCTAAAGGGGCCTGCCCACCCAATATCATCTGTCACTGCCATACACGTGCTATGCAAACATCAGAGACTGCCTGCCGGGGTCCTGAGACTGGGCTCTGCTGATACTGGGCATGCACCTGTTGCCTGACCTGCTTCCTTTTTAAAGCTTGGTGCTGAGGGAAGCCTCTGATGCCTCGAGAGTGTGATTGTCAACTTGAACCTAAGACTGCTGATGCCAGTAGAGCAGAATAGGCATTTTAATCCCAATTTTCTTACCTTGATCTATTTTGTATTTTTCCATGGCATGAAACTCCTTTTGATATTCTGTATAAGCTTGTTATAATTTTGGTTATGGTCTGCCTTCTCTCATAAGCCTCATGAGGGCAGGGATTTTTGCACACCCCCCGCCCCCATATTTTACTAATATATCCCAAGCATCTAGAACAGTGCTTGGCACCCACTAGATGCTCAGTATTTTCTGAATGAATAAGTGAACAAACAAATGTTTGTTTAGTGTTTCTTCAATGCCAGGAATAGGGCATGGTGAAGAGAAGAAACTGGGTAACAGAATTTTATTTCCTAGAGCCTAGAATATGAATATGATCATTAGTGAGATTGGCCATTTACATAGACTCTTTGGGGGATTTCCCAAGCCATATCATAGATGAGATATATTATATGTTATATTGCATGTTTTATAACATACCACACATCACAAATTTATTTTTATTTTCTATTATACATTTCACGTTACATGTTGTGTTACACATTACATGTTACATGTTACACATTACACATTCTATATTCTATATTCTATATTCTATATTCTATATTCTATATTCTATAATTATACTAGGTGCTCATGAATTCATGCACCTTGAAAGAAAATATAGGCTGTGAGGCTGCAGTGGGCACAGGGACAGGTCTCCGCCCATCCTCTATGTGCCTGCCCGGCCCCTTCCACTGTGGTCCCTGGTCCCCTCTCTGCTGGCAGCCCCACTCCTGCCACCACCTCTGATGGTGCTAGCTCTGCTTGCACCCACTTACAGCACGGAGCAATTGGGGTCAGCACTGTCAACTGGTGCGAGAGGGGACTGCTGCCCCAATTGCCCCTAGGAGCAGGGGGAGGTGGAGAAGCCCTCAGGAGCAATTGGGGTCAGCAGCCACCACTCACACCTGCTGATGGTGCCAAGGAATTAGGATCAGCTCCAGGAGGCTCTGCCATTGGCAGCAGGTGCGAGTGGGGCTGTCGCTGGCAGCAGGTGTGAGAGGCGGCTGCGGGCCCCAACTGTCCCTCAGGAGCAGGGGTAAGTGGAGAAGCCCTGAATGGGATTGGAGCCAGCAGCCACCACTCACACCCACTGATGGTGCCGGGCGCTGGCAGTGGGTGTGAGTGGTGGCACTAGTGCCGGCAGCGGTGCGGGCAGGTCTGATGCGGCATCAGATGTGAGCACTGGGTGGGACTCAGCTCACATAGGAGCAAAAAGTTTTCAGTAACCACCAGAAGCTTACCTCGATGACAGCAGCCAGTGCCCGCCTTGGTCTGGTGCCCCCACTCACCTGCTCTACGATCCCGCTATAGCCAATGGCCACCATGTTCCATGTGCACCCTCTGGTGGCCAGTGCACATAGCGACTGGTTGTTCTGCCATTTGGTCTTTTTGCATTTTAGGGTTTTTATACATATATGTATTAGAAGGGTTGGATCTTAGCAATTATAATGTAAAAGAAAGCTTGAGTTTCACCAATTATACTTACATATACGAAGGAAGACTAAGTTATTGGAAGAGATTTTATATGTTGGCATTGCCCAGTAGTAGAATCCCCCAAGCAGAAATCACTTACACAATTTCCTCTTCATTTTGATCCAAAAGGAGATGGTGCTATGAAGAGAGTGACTCCACATTGCTTTAAAATAGCCTTAAACAAAATTAAGTAGGATTACTGCTAAAAGATCACAATAGTAAAACAATAAAAGCATTTTAATTTTGTTTACAAGACACTATTATTTATGTAGGTAGCATTGTAGTCTTAGAGATTTTAGTAATGATAATCATCATTTGGTCCAGTGTAATAGGGTAATATCTAGTTAGTTTGCAGATGTTAATTAAAAATAATAATCTAGTTCCCTTTAAACCTGACTTGCTACATAAAATAGGAAGGATTTCTAACCATGTGCAGATGGGTTTTTGTGCAATTTTAAGACATCATATCTTCACATCTCCATGCCTTCACTCATGCTTTTTATTTTTCCTGGAATTATCCTCCCTTCCTTCTCAAACTCCTCCTGGTCCTCCAGAATCCAGCCAGAGTCATATTTCCTCTCTGGCTTTTCTTGGCGCTGTCTTCCTGCACAGGTTCTCCCCTTAAAATTGATGGATTATTTGCTTCCTCTTTTGTTTTCCCAAAGCCTCTGAGTTTCAAGGGCATCTCTGTCACCTTTATTTCTCTAGTGACTGGCACAGTCCCTGTCTCTGAATACATGTTCAATAAATAAATATTCAGTTTGAAGCATTAGATGATTTTTACCTTGGTCACTGATTCATCCAACAAAATATGGATTAAGAATTTTTTATATGCAAGTTTCTGTGTCTTATGTTGTAAAGGTACTGGGGAAAAAATCAGATGCCCAATTTCTTAGAAACTTAAAATATAGTGTAGTAAGGAAAAAATAAGTCATGTGTAAAAGTAACTACAATGCATGGTTTGAAGTGTTATTTTTAGAAAGAGAGTTGTGTGTGATTGCTTCCTGCTGGGGTTCAAGAATGTTTTCTTATTGACTAGGGAAATAGTCTTCCTTATTAAATAGCTCAAAAGCTGTGATTCAAAGCTATATTTCTTTTGATGAGTCACAAATTAGGTTATATTTTATTCTAGATCTAAAAAATGCCTCTCCTTCACTTTAACTTGAAGTATTATTGTGGACTATTGGATTAAAACACGACTCAAGAGTTATGCTGCTACATGCCAAACAGTCCACCTTTAAAGTACAGAAAGTTTCATTTGGTGCCTTAAGGTATGAATTTAATGCATTCCCTGGTTTTTAGAGAACACCTTAAGTAATAAATCCTTTACATGTTGCTACAAGTTACTCCTAATTGCCATTAGCAATAGGCTGTAGAAAGCTTTTGACAAAAGTTAACAGTAATGTCATTGCAATGAAAAATCCAAACGACATTTAGCTGAGAATTTTTTTAAAACTTCAGCCAGCATAGTTCGAAAGATCAGCGCTTAATTGTAGTATTTAGGCCAATAGTATTTAAAAAATCAGCAGATTGCATTTTTCCACAGTAAGGGGTAAGATGTTAATAGAGTAAGTGATTACAGATGCTAACTGATGGTCACCAGCAGTTTTTCTCTTTTTGTTTAGACTTGGATTATCACTTGCATTTATCTTCAACTGGTCCTCTTTAATCCTCTCGTCAGAAGTACAGGGATCTGCAAGAAACGTGTCACTGATGATGTGAAAGACGTTACAAAATTGGTGAGTACAGGGTGCTTTCAATAGCTGTGACCCTTTTTCTTGTGCTTTTTGAAAAAATATTTCATTTTTCCTTGCTCCAAATAGGCATTTTTCTAAGACAAGGAAGTCATTGAGTTATCTAAAGGGTTTATAGGGAGTGCACGTGGGAAGACACTCAAGGTCATAGAGAATCTGTTGATAAGATGGCCCCATGGCACACTGCTGTATTGACTTTGGATTTTTGCTGGTCTTTTCATCTCATTCACAGGCTGTGAAGTGAGGTCCCTCCTTGTGTGCTGATGTGCCAGCCCTGCTACTTCCCCATTAGCTCTGTAGTGGGTTCTTCAGCATGTCTTATTTCCCTTCACATGCCTTCCTACCTTTTTCTATCAAGCCTACCAAAAGGAGATCTGAAATGGCCATTCTCCCCTTTCCAACAGCTAGGAGACACTGTCCCACGTGGGTGTGCATTTGTTCCCTCAGTGAAGATACTTGGAGGAGTGGCTAGTTGCCCAGATGTTGACCAGACTACATTTGTCAGTGGAACTTCTCCCTCAGCAAAAGCCATTTCACACTCATGCTGTTAGGCAATGCCAGCTTCATGCCATACTTCTTTTAAAATGCACACCACAGAGGCAGGGGGCATAATACCACATCTGGAATGCCTTTTTTCTCAGCTCTGACGATCTAGGGGAGGTTGTATATGCTCATTTGAGTTACTTAGTATGATTTCAGGATGAACAGCATTTGAAAGGCATTTTTTAAAATTTCTGGTACAAAATAGTTGAGGAAAGTTAGTTATTTGACTATTTTCTAGAGAACAGAAATATGTGAGATTAAAAAAGAAATGAAGATTGTTGTAATATCTACAAAGGAAAGAAAAGTACATTTGTGGAGATATTTATTTTTCTTACTCTAGATATACATTTTCTTGTGTATATGATTTTGGGTTCATTAAAACAGAAATTTAATGCTATGATCAGAGTTTTGCTAGCTTAGCCTTAGTGCATAATTAGTAACCCACACCCACACCCACAGGCATACACACAAAGTGTATGAAGATAGGCCAAGCATATCCAAGATTAATATAGTATTTAAGAGGGTACAGGTTTAAAAGTATTCTTGATCATGTTACTACATGCAGAAGATGTAGTAACATGTGTTATTTGAGGGGATGTATTACTTTTCTACCATATACCAAGCTAGGTACTGAGTATAGTGTGGGGTTAAAGGTGGGGTATTTTTATTTTGTATTAGTAGAAGACATTCATTAAATGTGTGTTGTTGAAAGAATTAAGGATGTGCTCTAAGGTGAGAATTATAGTCACCTGTGGTGCTTATTAAAGTTACAGCTGTTATGGTTCTATTAATTCGTAGGTCTGATTGAGGGCTCAGGGTATTTACATTTTTAGGACATTTCTGAAAGAAAGTTTACTGCTCTAAATGGACTGTTCTGTTAAACTTTAAAGACCAAAGCATCTTAACTTCTATTTAATCTCATGGTTTTTTTTTTTTTTTGTAGCTAGCTTTATCTTTGTTATATAGATTTATATGAATGTCAGATAAATATGTGTCTCCAGTATATGCTAAAGGTGGTAATTCAAGGGGCTCCTGGTAGAGCTGTGAAGCTGAGAATGAGTTGGGCAATCTGCAGGCATCCTGGGGAGCAAGTTTCAAATATCTGGACAATGAGTCATAGTTGGGAAATGATAGTGTATATGACCACAGACCAAGCATACCCAAGATTAACATGGTATTTAAGAAAAATTACCTGTGCAAGTTGGTTTTTTGTTTGTTTGTTTGTTTGTCTGTGTGTGTGTGTGTGTGTGTGTGTGTGTGTGTGTGTGTTAATCCTTACCCAAGATATTTTTTTCATTGAGTTGTAGATGGGATGAAAGGGAGGGAGAGAGAAGCATCGATGTAAGAGACACATCCATTGGTTGCCTCCTGCATGTGCTCTGACTGAGCAGAGGATTGAACCTGCAACCCAAGTCATGCCCTTGATGGGGAGTTGAACCTGGGACCCTTCAGTCTGAGAGCTGATGCAACCATGGCCCAGGGTCATTATTTTTTGCTAAGTGTTTGAGGATACTACTTGATGACACCACTTCCTGTGAAATGTCAAATCAGTATTTTCAAATGGCATACATTTCTATACTAATAAAAAGGTAATATGCTAATTAGACTGGGAGACCTTCCAAATGTCCTTCTGGACAAAGTCATGGTGGTGGGGCTGAGGCAGAGGTGGTTAGGGGTGGTCAGACCAGGAGGGGAGGGCAGTTGGGAGTAATCAAGCCAGTGCAGGGGGGAACTAGGGAAGTTGTAGGCTAGCAGGCTGCCAAAGGGGGATATCTGGGGGGTGAGCAGGCCAGCAGGAGGGCAGTTGAGGGTGAGCATGCCAGGAGAATGGTTAGGAGCAATCATGCAGACAGGCAGGTGAACAGTTAGGAGCCAGCGGTCCTGGATTGTGAAAGGCATGTCCACAGGGTCGAACATCCCCCAAGGAGTCCCAGATTGGAGAGAGTACAGGCCCTGCTGAGAGAGACCCCTCCTGCATGAATTTCATGCTCTGAGCCACTAGTATAATAATAAAAGCGTAATATGCTAATTAGGCTGGAAGACCTTCCAGATGAAGCCATGGCTGTGAGGGAAGCCTGGGTCCCAGGTGTCAGAGGGATGTCTGTACCAGTAGCCAGGGGGAGGAAGGTCTACTCTTGCACAAATTTCATACGTTGGGCCTCTAGTAGGTATTATAAGAACCTTTCAAGATTTTCCAGTCTTGTCTTTAACCATTTGCTTATTTTCAATCTGTTACCTATTTGTTGATAAATGAAAAGTGGTAAGAAGCTAAAAAGAAAGAAGTACTAGAAAGGGATAGTTATTAATATTGACATTAAAATATAATTCCTCCCCTCAAGGACAGGTGTGAAATCATTAAACTAAAAGGGTTTTATCTTCCTTCTAGCAACTGACTCATGAATAAATTTTTAATTTCAAGTGTTGATCTAGTGAAATTAGCAAATTTATTTCAGATTACTTAAAAAATCAAGTTAATAAAAAATAGAACTCAGAAGATCACTTCTAATTGAATAAAGACCTCCATAATGTACAGCTTGTATTTCATAGAGTAGAAAACGTAAAAATATAAAATAATTTCTGACATCAAAGTGGAAGATAAGCCATCTCTATGAATATATGAATGCATACCACTAACAACACAGAAACAACACACAAATGGATGCCATTTAAAAGATTTCATGGTATAACATGGGACCCAATCTGTGTGAATACAGGGTGTCCCAAAAATGTATACACACTTTAACAACTTATAGCTCAATTTTGAAAATGAAATATATTTTAATGAACATTGCCTTTATAATTATTCAAAGTTTGTACACACTTTTGGAAGACACTTTATATATTGGTTAAGACAGTGGTCAGCAAACTCATTAGTCAACAGAGCCAAATATCAACAGTAAGACAATTGAAATTTCTTTTGAAAGCCAATTTTTTAAAACTTCTTCTAATGCCACTTGTTCAAAATAGGCCCAGGCCATGGTATTTTGTGGAAGAGCCACACTCATGGGGCCAAAGAGCCGCATGTGGCTCTCAAGCTGCAATTTGCCAACCACGGGGTTAAGAGAATAGATTTTGGAATCCAGCAAACCTGAATTTTAAATACCAGTTCTTTGGCCTTGGACCAATTTTGTAGGCTAGATTAAATAAGAGAATGCATATACAGAAAGTCCTTGGGTTATGTCGGAGATGTGGAGATCCGTTCCTATGGCTCGATGTAAAGCGATTTTCACTCTAAGTTGGAACCCACCTATATAAGCACCTACATCACTCACATGGAGCACATACACAGCAGTAATGAAGAGAAACAGTAAAACAAATTTAAAAGAAAGATAACAATTCCTGACCTTTACAGTGGTAAATAAATAATAAAAAGCATAAAGCACATATGTACATATGTCAAAATGATGGAACTATATTTTTATATAAATAAATGGGAGATGGTGATGTAACCACAAAATGATGTACACCAAGTTCGTTGTAACCCGAGGACTGTCTATATAAATCTTTACCCCAGCCGGGACCAGTTTGGCTCAGTGGTAGAGCATCGGTCTGCGGACTGAAAGGTCCCAGGTTCGATTCTGGTCAAGGGCATGTACCTTGGTTGCGAGCACATCCCCAGTAGGGGATGTGCAAGAGGCAGCTGATTGATGATTCTCTCTCATCCATGTTTCTAACTCTCTATTCCTCTCTCTTCCTCTCTGTGAAAAATCAATAAAATATATTTTAAAAAATAAATAAAAATAAATAAATCTTTACCCCAGTTATTATCCTATAACCTCTTTGTGCCTCAGTTTTCTCATCTGTATAATACACACACACACACACACACACACACACACACACACACACATAAAAGCTTTTCGATGGAACAACCAGAACTACTGGAACGACCAGTTGCTATGATGCCTACTGACCGCCAGGGACCAGCATGCCAGGTGATAGTTATTTGTATAGAAGTGCCAGGACTGCTTAGGTTATAATACTGATGATGTTGGGATTTTTGTGTGTGTGTTTTGTTTTGTTTTTTCATGTTTGAAAAGCTGTGTTTCCCATTCTTAAACTAAAATTCATTAATTTTACTAATTCAAACAGCAACATAAGTGACTTGAGCTTTAGGAACATAGATCATCGAAACCTCTCTCTAAAGAACAGTTGGGCTAAGCGCCTTGCCCCCAGTTACCAAGGCTGCTATCACACAGCTGTGTGACCTTGGACAAATAATCTTAATCTAGGATTCATCCATTTCAAATCTTTGCAAAATGGAACTCCAAATGATGCCTCTATAGGCCCTGTGTGAATTTCCGAGAGAATGGTGCCTAGCCTTTCGCTTCCCTGGGAAGTTCCTGATCTCAAAAAGATAAGAACGACTCAGATAGATAAACTAGGAGGCCCTTTTTAGCTTTGAAGTCCTTTTAGTACATAAGGATACTTCCTCAAGATGC